CAGAGGTCACTTTGGAGTCAGGCTAGGCATCCAGATCCTTCAAACTGCATATATTTAAAGCATGCAGCTTGGTCAGCTGTGTCCTACATTTATACCAATGAAACCATCACTGGAAGCAAGATACTATTTCCATGACCTTTGAGAGTTTCCTCATGTCCCCTTATAATCCTTCCTTTCTCTTCTTCATCCTCAGGCAAACTCTCTCTATGTTTCACTATCGATTAGTTTGTATCAAAAATTCTCTAGAAAGGGAAGAATATGAACAGTACTCTTTCTGAACTTTTGGTCAGCCTTGTTATTTTGAGATTCAGATCCATCCACATTGTTGAACTGATCAACGGTGCCTTTTCAAAGAATTACCAAGTAGATACTGGATTAGGATAGAACAGAGTCTGAGCTATTTTACACAGGGTCTCTATGCATCACAGGTGACTTGATAGCATATAACAACAGCAGCAGCACTACAATGGACACACTACAATTTTCCGGTCTACTTGTTGATTGTTGATGGGCAACTGAGTTGCTAACAGCTTTGACTACTAAAAATAAAACAGCAATAAACATTTGTAGAAGAATCTTTGTACAAGTATGTATTTTTTTTCATTTCCCCTGGATAAACAGCTAGGAATGAAAAGACCAGGCCATATGTTAAACGTATGTGATTTTGAATGGAACTTCCAAACTATTTTTCAAAGTGGTTAAAGTGTCATTTCACTCCGACCACCAGTGTATAAGCAGTAGATGCTCCACGTGTTCTGTTTTTCATTTCAGACATTTTAATGAACATGTTAAGTGGTGAGTTATGGTTCCTTAATTTGTAGTTCTCTGTTGAAAAATAATTTAGAGCACCTTTTAATTTGTTTATTGACTTTATCTTCTCTTCAAAAAGATCAGTATAAATCTTTTTCTTATTCAGCTGTTCTCTTCCTTTTATCCAGTTGTAGTAAGTAGATCTCCACATATTCCGGATAGAAATCTCTTGTCTAATAAATACACTGTCTGATTTTTTTCTTACTAGTGTCTTTGGGAGACCTAAGATTTTCATTTTCACGAAATCAAATTTATCAATGTTATATTTTATGGTTGATGCTTTTTGTGGTGTTATGAAGTAAACTTTGTTTATCTAATGTTACAAAGATTTTCTTTTACATATTCTTCTAGAAGGTTAAGTACCAAGTTTAACACAAAGTCACCAGAGCTCTGTCTAAGGATGAAGAATGGGAAATGCCTTTCCCTCCAATTTATATCTTATGAAAACTCATTGGAAGGTCAGCTGTGAGCTGGTTCTGAGTTGACAGCAAAGAGCTGGGATGATAAACCCACCAATTATCGCCTGTGTTTTTTCTATGAGAAAGCTCAGGGAGCTTCTGTGACTTGCCCATGGTCACATGTTCAGGGGAGGTCCACCCTCCAGCAGGTCTGCCACCAATCCACAGCCCTCCCATCATGCTGAGCCACTTCTGAAAGTGCTTTCTTCCATTTGCTCCATCCAACCCATGACGCCTTAATCCCACTGGCTGGCTGAATCTTTTCTCCACCCCCACCCCCAATTTTATACTGGTTTGCATAAAAAATTCAAATACATTATGTTTCATTCATATACTTTGTGTTTCTCACATTCATTCACAATGTGTTTCATTTGATCATTTCCAACTAGTGTTTTATAAAGTCAACCACTACTGACCTATGCTCTTTATCATTTTGTTTTTGCAGATTCCCCCTATACTATTTCCTTTACCTCCTCTCTCTGCCTATCAAATTCAGTAGCCCTGTGAATTCTCTCCCTCCATACTTCAGCACCACTGCCTCCCTCCCCTTCCCCCTTTGTACTTTTATCCTCGTATTACTAGTTATCCTTCCATTTTTAGAAAAATGGTCTTATACAGTATTTGTCCTTATAAGTGACTCCTAATTTACAAGACACTGAGAAGAATGGAAATCCCAGAACACTTAGCTCTGCTCATGGAAATCTATACACACACCTAGAAGAAACTGTCCTAAGAGAACAGAAGACAAAGCATGGTTTAAAATCAAGAAAGGCATCTGTCTGGGTTGCATCCTTTCTCTTTACCTACTCAAGCTGTATGTTGAGAAACTGATCTGAGATATTGGACGATATGAAGAATGTGGCATTAGGATTGGAGGAAGATCTATTAATAACATTTTTATGTAGATGACACAACCTGGCTTGCTTGAAAACTTAAAGTACTTGCTGTAAAATATCAAAGACTTGTATAATATGGATCACATGTCAACACAAGAAAACAAAAAAAAGTCCTCGCCACTGGACCATTATGATGCAACATCATGATACATGGAGAAAAGACTGAAGTTGTCAACAATTTCATTTTACTTGCATCTACAATTAATTCTTATAGTAGCATCATTCAAGAAATCAAAAGACAGGTTGTGTTGGAAGAATTTGTTGTCAAAGATCTCTTTAAAGAGCTAAAGACAAACCAATGTTGTTGTTTTTTTTTTAAGTGCTAAAGAGAAAGGATTTCAGAATTAAGGGTGCACTTGATCCAAGTCATGTTTTTTGGTTTTCTTATGTACCTGAAAGTTAGACAATTAATAAGAAAGAAAAAAAATTGAAGCTTTTGAATTGTGTTGTTGCTCAAGAGAACTAAATATTCCATGGATTGTCAAAAGAACAAAGAAGTCTGCCTTGGAGGCAAGGAGGATGAAACTTAGTCTCACATACTTTGACAGTACGTGTTGTCAGGAGAGGCCAATCCTTGGAAAAAGACAGCATGCTGGGAAAGGTGGAGGGTCAGAGCAAGAGCCTCAGTGCGACGGACTGACACAGTGACTGCAGTCATGGCTGGAGAACGATAGGGGCAAAGTTCAGATTGACTATGCATAGGGCCTTGTGAGACATAGTCCACTAGCTGGCACCTCACAACAACAACAATTTGCATGCAACACAGAGGGCAAAGGCTTGTTTTGCATGACTTCAGGTCTTGGGACAGAGACTCTAGAGCAGCAAAAGGAAGGTGGAAGCCCCAGGTGATGGGTAGGGCCTAGCGGCAAGCCCTGCCCCATGTAGCTCTCAGCTGACAAGCAGCCCCGCTCTGTCTGCCAGCACCAGCATCAGGCTTTGTTAACCTAGGGTAACTCTGAAGCTGTATTTCAAAACAAATCCAACAACAGTCATCAGCTGAGTCAATTCCTTCTTCAGATGACCCTATTAAGTGTTGGAGTAGAACTGTGCTACATAGGATTTTTAAATGGTTTTTCCACAAGAAGTTCTTCCAGAGAACGTCTGTCTGGACTCCAAACTCTGACCTTTGCCGTAGTAGCTGAGTATGTTACCTTTTTGTACACAGAAGTCATTTAACACAAACTATTCTATACATTTTCTTTGGTGTTCTGGCAAGATGAGCAGAAAGGCTAGTGACTTTTAAATCCCACACCGTCACTTACACAAGACACAGCAGATTTCTGAGACCAGGTTCATCTTGATCAAAAAACCAAAGCAACACCTGCTTTTTATATTAAGAATCACCTGCATCTGTGGGATAAGACACTGCTCTCAGTTGATAGCATTTCAGCCACCCAGAAAACACCAATAGGACTCTGTGGGGTTTCTGAGCACATCAGACCTGCCAAAACTTAATTTTTAATGCTTAAATAAAGTAATGGGGAGCTCTGGTGCCTTGGCAGTAAGCTGTAGTGCTACAAACCCAAAAACATGTGGTTCGACTCTCCCAGCTGCTCCAAGAGCAAAAGACAGGCAATCTCTTCCTGTGTGATTTAGAGTTGTGGAAAACCCACTGGGGGTCAATATCAGTCAGTTCCAACAGGACAAAACTTGAGTAAATGAAAAGGTTAACTACCCTAGTACTGCAAAGGCCAAGAAGCAAGGTGAAGCATGTCCCCTACTCTCCTTTAAACTGCAAAGGTGTTACCTGGCCAGTATCAAGTGCGTAACTGCACTGTCTTTACATCTTACCACAAATGGGATTTTTAATAGATTGCAGCACAGCTAGAGAAAAAGGAGGTGAAAATCCAGGAGTCCAAGCAAGCAGAAAGACCATGGATAGACGGTACAATAACCAGGAGGAGATGAGCACAAGAGTGTAATAAGAGTTAGTATTTTCTTGAGTTCACACTGCTTCTACTAAATAATGCAATAGACTATTTCACTGCATTTAACTTCTCCATAAATACACAATCACAACACAAACGAAACAAATCACCTCAAGAATAATTAACAAATATTTTATTGGAATGAAATTAAAGGTCTAATAATTATGACCTTATATAAAGTGGGCCCAAACTCAAGTAAAAAAATACATCCTAAGAGAAAAGCCCATTATTTTGCATTTAAATTCACTGTGTATACAGAAGATGTACACAGAAGAGTTATTGTAACGGCAGCATCTTCATCTGGTAACCAAATGAACTGTCTTCCGTGAACATTGCCTGATAAGAAGTTGTTATAGTATTTCTTTCCTGGGACATTCTGGGGGTGGGGGTGGGTGGGATGACATATCTGCATACAGATAGCGGCTCTAACCCCGGGGACAAGGGAGCCTGAAAAATTCCCCTACACAACTGTGTCCTCAAGTTTCTGCATCCAAATTTCAGTGGTGCCACAAACCTAATGCAAATAGGTTTATACAATGAACTAGATGAAGCTCAAGGGAGTGGAGGAAGAAATTATAACCATCACTGAATGGATGCAGATCAACAGATGCAAACACCTGAGACAAGCTCATCCACTATATAAAAATAAACATGTTAATCTTCACAAAAAAACCAAATGGAACTCAGTTTCAACTTAACTATTTGGAGGGTTCTCATCTTGCCCAGAGCTGTCTTTGCCAAGTCAACCACACTGTTAAAATTAGTTCTTCTACAACACCTTCCCCAGCCTCCCAATGTTACATATTCTCTCTTAACCCACCTGATTCTCTGCAGCAAACCAGTCATGAGAGGCAGTGCAAATTCTGGTACCTTTAAGACTGATTAAAGAAGAAGAATTAGGACCTTACCACTTCTGGAAGCAGCCTGGTAGAGAGGTCATGGATGGCTTTGACCACTATGCATATGGACGACAGCAGGAATATTATCCCCAAGATGACACAGGCTCTGGAAAGAAACAAAACATTGATGATCGTGACTACTGAAGAGTCATCATAATGACAGTGACAGTGGCACTGTCAGGGCAGTAAGACCCACTGTAATTTGTCATACTCCCCCATGACCACCCATAATCCCAAGACTGATAGTGAGTCCTGGGGAATATAGTGTAGAAGTGTATCACCGAAGTGAACCCCACCAGAAAGAGGATCAAGATTCTACAAAATTTCACAGCAGGACACAGGCACGTCTCTGCAGTCTAGATGCAACAATAAGCAAGAAAAAAGAAACATGAAACAAAGGCCAATATAATAAAATCATGTTAACAATGCACTGATCGAATGCAGAAGATGAAAAGAGGATGGGAGAAGAAAAAAATAATGTCTACATTCAGTTCTGGAGAATCCTAGTCCCAATCTGTGAGCTTCTGTCTCCTCCCATAACCATGTACAGCCTAGGAATCTCAATAGCTGGTCACTATGAGTCAACCGCACCTATAAACAACTGATCTGAAAGTTTCCCTCCATGGCGTTTAGAAGGACATCAGCAACGTATCAGTGGGGCAGGAGAGCAATCTAACATGTTACTCAGATGCTAGTGGAACAGCCCATACTGTAAAGCAACTCTGAAATACAGGGAATATTAACAGGAATTTATTATCAGGTTTATCAAAGGCCAATTCTGCATAACTGTGCTCCATAGTTTACAAATGCAGATCCATTTCCAGTTCAACTCCACTAGCTCTGACTGAACCAGAAAAAAAAAATCAGTTCAAATCTCTGCCGAACAGCCTAAAGTAGCTATTATTAGCCGAGAGTCTGATGCTATTTTTTAATGCTTTATTAATAATATATAGTGTTTACACAGCGGCTCTCTCCTCGGGCACTCAGAGTTCTGCACATCAGCTCCTTAGTCCCTGGAGGCCACTCACCAGACCTGAAACTCCTTTTATTCTCTGTTGTATGGAGCTGGGGAGGATGAGGAGAGACATGATTTATAAGTAGTCAAAATGCAGAGTCAAGGGTTAAGAGTCTTGCCCAAGGTCACCCAAAGAGTTTAAAGTCCACCCCTAAATCGAATCCAAGTCTCCTGATGCCCAGTGCTCAGCTACGCAGTCACTCAAAGGCAGGAGGGAAATGTGAGTCATGGCTTCACACAGCCTGCACCTTGGGACTGCCACTGTCTCGGGACACAGAGAGGATCTGGGTCAGGAGAATGCACTGCAAATGCAGCTCGTTTTGAACGGGCAGATACTGTAGCTTCTGCGTGCTCATGTGTACGTGTGTGTGTGTCTCTCTTTTGTTTCTTGATTGCTATTAGCATGGTGTGGACTAGTGGCAAGAAGCTGTGCTGCAATCCCATTCAGAGCTGGCTGCTGATGACTCTTCCTCCAATCCTGATGCCACATTCTTCTTCATACAGTCCAGCCTCTCAAATGATTTTGAGCATACAGACTGAATAGATATGGAGAAAGCATATAGCCCTAGCTCACTAGTGTCTAGCAATGATTATTCACTAGATGTGTTCTGTTCTTTAAATAAGGCCACCAACCAAAACTATCGCAGAGGCAAAATAAAGGGAAGGAGAAAGTGTCAATGAATAGGTATCAGGCATTTCCCATTCTCTACCTGTTGGAGAAAGACTCATCAACAACATATGTTATGCAGGTGACACAATCTTGCTTGCTGAAATTGAGGAGGACCTGAAGCATTTGCTGAAGAATGTCAAGGACTGTAGTCTTCACCATGGATTGAACTCAACATCAAGAAGACAAAGATTCTCACCAATGGGCCAACTGGCAGCACCATGATAGATGGAGAAGAGATTGAGGTTGCTAACAATTTCAGTTTGCTCGGGATCACAAACACCACTTTGGGCACCAATAGTCAGGAAATCATTTTGATTTTTTTGATAAACTGTACAGGGAAAATCTGCTGTCAGGGACCTCTCCTGAGTACTAAGAAGTAACGATGTCAGTCTAGAGTCTAAGGTGCACCTAATCCAGGTCATGTTCTTTGCAATTATTTGCTATGCATTAGCAGGCTGAACAATGTCTACGGATGACAGAAGAATTCAAGCCTTCAATTTGTGGTGCTGGAGAAGATTCTTGAACATATTATGGACTGCCAAGAAAAAAAAAACAGGTCTGTTTTGGAGGGGGTGGGTGAAACCAAGTTTGTCCTTGGAGGCTAGGATTTTGAAGCTCTGTCTCACATACTTCGGGCACATGACCAGAAGGTCATCCTTGGAGAAGGACATTATGCTCCTAAGGGTGGAGAGACAGCACAAGAGAGGCAGATCCCAGATGAGCTGGATTGAAACAGTAACTGGGGCAATGGGGTTTGGTGTGTCAGAATCATTGAGACTGGATCAGGACAGTGCAGGCTTTAGAGCTACTACTGTACACATGGTTGCTATGGTCACAGGCAACTCAACAGACAGCACATAACAACAACAATAACCACAGCTAATATCTGCATTTAAGGACCTCTACAAATTACTAAGGAGTAATGATGTCAGTTTGAGGACTAAGGTGCATCTGACTCAGGCCACAGTCTTTCCAATTACTTACTATGCGTCTGAGAGCTGGACAATGAATAAGGATTACAGGAAAAGAATTGACACCTTTGAGCTATGGTGTTGGAGAAGAGCACTGAACATGTCATGAACGTCCAAGAGAACAAATATATGTCTTAGAAAGGGTGCAGTCAGAGTGTTATTTGGAGGCAAGAATGATGAGGCTTCACCTGGCATGCTTTGGGTATATTGCTAGGAGGGGCTATTTTTTAGAGAGGGACATGATGCTGGAAGGGTGCAGGAGGGTTGGTGAAGGAGAGGAAGAGTCTCAACCAGGTAGACTGAGGTGATGATTGCTGCACTTGGCTCTTGTGTGTCAGGAAGTATGAGGATGGCACAGGATAGAACAGGGTTCAGATCTCTTGTTCGTAGGATTGCTATGATGCATACTCGACTCAACAACAACCACAGCTAACACAGTCCCCCGTTGGCTCAAGATTTAGCCCCTTTCCCCTTCCTCCTCTATCATACCCACATTCCTTCCACCCTTGGCTAGTTCCTCATTTTCACTTTGTATTCTTTAATTTTTAAAAAATTTTATTATTTTGTGTATGTGTACCGTCAAATCGGATTTGACTGGTACTAGAGATTGTCCCTCCCTCGAACCATTCACTTTGTGTTCTTATATCTCTTACCTCCTTCCTTGACTTTTCCTTTGCATTACGGTCCTCCTATCTCTTCACTATTTTTAACCTCATTTACTTGCTATATTGTGAAAGGTTATGATGAAGGAGAGGGTCACTGGGGCAAGGGTGGTAAGCTCTGTAGCGGGGTGGCCCATACCTTCTCCAGGTTAGGACTATTAACCTCCCAAACATGTTAGGAGTTGTAAAGCTATGGTAACTCACAACAATTGCATGAGCAACCTATAAAAATGTCTAACCTCAAAAATAAATTATAAATGGCTAACCCCAAACATGCAACTATTAAAAAGGTCATCCTCAGCAGAAAAGCCCTCTGCTTATATGTATAATAAAATGCTTACTGACTAAAATATAACTAATTGAAATATCATTTAGATATAAATTTCTTTCCAGCTTTGACTTTAAGGACAAAAGCAACATGAGGAATCTGTTAAAAAATTAGATTCCACAGGAGTAGAGTTGAACAGAATTATCTGTTCTGACGGACATGTTCCAGTCTGCCTAATCCAATATAGTAGCCACCAGCAGCATGTGACTGTTTAGCATTTCAAACATTGCTAATGCAAAGAAAAAACGTAAAATTCAATAATACTTAATTTTTACTTATTTAAATTTAAATAGCCACCTGGGGGTAACCAACACATTGTCAATGCAACTTCTAGGGGTTAAGCTAAAGATACAGAAGTCCATCAAAGTGGTCCCAATAAAGATTTCATCTTTTACTCTGTATGATCAGATACCAACAAAGGGCTGAGTCAAGAAATGACAGGGCCTGCTCATATTCAAATATGTCCATTCTGGCTGCTCTAATGCGAATGATGAGTGCATGCAGGAAACCAATGAGGAGGTAACTGCCATGGTCCTGCATCAGGCAAGGCAAGACCAGGTGAGTGAGGCTGGATGTAGGCAGGTGGGATCCACAGGTCCCTAGAAGACAGTCAAGAATGCAATGAATATGAGCGGATATTCACTATGTTCTACCTAATGAAGTAAGGAGTAGACAGTGGATTTCAAATGATCAAAAAAACAAACAAACACCCCCCCCAAAAAAATCTATCATTGTAAATTTCTGTATCTCACCAAAATCAGAAGATACAGAGATCTTACTATTTTAGCCAACTGGTATGTATGTGTGTATGTATGTATGTATGTATTATTTGCAAATCAAAAGGTAATGTGCACGTCATACAAGAGTATGAACATCAAATTACCATGCTCATGAACTGGAAAAGGATTGCCAACTGGTATTTGAAAGTGAACCACTGACATATGTTCAACGTTAGGTCAATTATCTATCATGAATTTTAATCTTTTCTATTTATTTACTAAATGTGAAACTGCTGATCTCTGCATAGAATATAATCAGGCAGATTATCAAAGAGCCTATTATGGAGTTCTGTGTAAATACATAGGCAAAGAGCCTTGTTTCTCCACATATGCCCTATTCCATGTTCATGGTGTATTTCCTCCCCCAAGATGTGCACATGCCACCTACGAAACATGAATAGACAGCACACCAATTCTGAGAATGAGGAAAATATTTGCTGAGGGACTACCATATTCCAAGAGGTCTGCTGAGCACTACATAGCATAAGATATGGCCCTTCTAGTCACAAGAAAGTCTTTCTAGAAAAGTTGGTTGAGATTTGGGAGGACCAGAAGACGTTGTTGTTGCTGTTATGTGACATTGAGTCGCTTGCAATTCATAGTGACCCTAAGTACAAGAGCCCTAAATGCCGTTCTATCCTGTGACAGCCTTGCCATCTCAAACACACTCATTCCCACCAC